AATCAAATATTCCTCTCCTCCCTAGTTGCGTAGTCTTTCATAAGCTACTACAGAGTTCTTACACTAAATCTCAGGGTATTTTTTTTTAAGATTAAATAAATTGAAGGCAATATAAATTGTAGTAAATAATCCATTTGTTTGATTAATTTCTAATCCATCCATCAGTTTTATTAGATTTAAGCATGAAGATAACTTATAATACAATGTAGTATCATATAATACATGATAATATATATATTGAACTAGAGGTCCTTAAATGTGAAAGGACATTTCAGTCTACTAAAAGATCAAGAGTTGAAATAGAATTTTAATGCGTGTACCAGTGATGCATTGTTATACATACACAGCATTCTCATTTGCTAGTCTCCATTTCTGATTTAATACACCAGTGAAAGTCCTAGGTGCTTACTTTTGGTGTGGAATTATAGACCTTGAAACTTTGTGTTATTTTGTGGTTTAAAGATTCCCTCAGTGAGTAGAACAAATAACAAATTATTTGTTCTCTACAGCAGAAATAATGTAGATCATACCAGATGCCTTTATTAATATTGCTTCAGCTAAGGGATCTTAAAAGTTGGATAAAGTACTGCCTTTCTGCTTTTGTCTTCTTCACTTGTGGATCATAAAACAAGGTATATATTGTTATAAGTTTTGTGGGTGGGCAATTTCCCCCAAAGTTCTTAAATTTAATAAATGCTTGGAGCCAGATGTTAGATTCAGTGAAGTGCTAAAACATAGGTGAGACTGGTTTCTGGGCCCAGAAAGCCACTTGGCACCAGGAAGCAATTAACCTAACAAGAGACAGGGAAAGAAGAGATCGACATAACAAAGGCTGTGTGCTGGCCAGCAACTGGCTGAGTAGTTGGAAGAAAAAGGGAAAGTTGCCACAGTTTCAGGCGTGATGTCACAGGAAAATCTAAAGGCTTGCTGGGAAGGAGTGGGGCAGAATTCCATGGGCTGCTGTGGAGGCGAGAAGCGGGAACAGAAAGATGGCATGTAGGATTACTCTGAATTCAATGCCAGGTGGTGGGAAAGGACAAGGTGCTATAAACTCTGCACTCCCTTCATCTACACTCAGGTTGTACATATGTGTTAATAAACCATATTTCAAAGACACTGCGGACGCCACTGTACCTTCTTTCTCCCTGAAGAGAAAGAAGGGCAATCACATGCACCACTCAGCAGAGATTGGGGTGGCTTGTAACAACATGATATGTATCCCTCCACCTTTCACTGGTTCTTTAATTTCATTCCTTTACAGTAGAGGCATGGAAGCTTTTTCATCCCATTCCCTGTTGGGCAGCCTTCCAGAAGCCACAAGGTGGGTATGCCCAGAAGCAAAAGTGGGTAGAACCACAAACATGAAGTTTGCTTTTGTACACTAGGTTAATTTCTTCTGCATTCAAACATGAAACACTATACTTCACTCAGGCAAGAAAGAAAAGTTAGCGGACTTCAAGGACGCATTGCAGTCAGGTAAAACATACTCAGGGTGTAGGGCAGGGAGGGCATGGGTGGATGGCATCATATGTGGAGAGTCCTGAGGGCCTGACAGACCCGCCTGCAAGATCACACCTGGCACCCCAGCATTGATTTTACCAATCCTTTTATAGATAGGGTGAGCCAACAGGGGGGGGGGGGATATTGTTACTCAAAATAATGCGCCCTTCTGCATATTTGCTTTTCCCCATTAGGTTGAAAGTAATAACACGGAATTAGAATATTGTTCCACATAGAACAGTGTTGTCCAATCTGTCTGCAAGCAGCTCACTAGGGGTTACAAAGACCCTGCTACCTGAAATTCTTTTTGCCGCAGAAGAAATGCCAGGAAGTAGACCCAGGACTTCTGCTTGCATAGCATTTTCTCTTCTGTAGTTGGTGGGAACGTCGTCCCCGCCCCCCCGCCCCCCGTCAAGGTCCACATTCCTTTTTAGGTAACCTGTCAAGGGCCACATGCTGGTTATGGGTGGAGCCAGGAAAAATATATGAAGGCCCACCCCTCTCTCTCTGACACCCCTTCTATTTTCTCTCTTTCCCTACCTAGCAGGTTCCTGGGGAAATACAGACTTTGCTCTTGCCAGAGGTATGGACCAATTGCTTTCAGAGGGCATCACTCCAGCCATTAAAGTCCACCTCCCACCTCCCTTCTTTTTCTCCAAGCAACGCTACTGAAATTAGGACAATCTGAAATTAGTTTCCACCACTAGAAGTAAAACCTTTTTAGTGTGTGTTTTTAAAAAATGTTCCTCTAGTTTTCATTTTCTGGGATGGGCATGAAGAGCATGCCTGAGCTATCAGAAGTTTAGGAGAGACTGGATTATGCGTATGATTGCCAGGTAGATGATTGTCCCAGCATGATAAAGTAAAATTAGCGAGGGTATCTCACTGAAAAGAAATCCACAAAGTTAAATTATGTATCTAAATATGATGGATCGTCTGACATAACATTTGTTTTTTTCTTGATGAAGTGACACCTGGTAACTCTGTAGTGATTAACTTGATAGAAACACCCATAAATAAAAGGAAGTTTAGACACCTCACTATTTATTTAGTGTGTTTACTCCTTTGATATACATACATAATTTGAGTGTCTGTCAAAAGCAGAAAACCAAGGGATGTGCAAAAAACCAAGGGATGAATAACTCATATAGAGGAAGGGATAAAAGCTTGGTGTATCCTTATTAGCTTCTTTGCGGCGTCATGGCAGCTGATGAAAATGCAAGTTTCGATCACTTCATCTGTAAGCTGACAGCACTGGCTGAATTTCTATGCAAAATTAGACTTTCAAAATAATGGCATCTAAAAATACAAACAGCACAACCTGGCTGAGCTTCTGAGAGAGGGGGAAAAACCCAAGAAGAAGTAGAAGCTCTTGTGGTTCATTTCAACAACCTATTTTGCAGGTGGAAAAGTTGCCATTAGAATTCATAGAATCATAACATTTTAGAGTTTGAAGAGACCCTGAGGGTCATCTAGTCCAATCCCCTGCTATGCAGGAATCTCAATGAGATCATACATGAAAGATGGCCATCCAACCTCTGCTTAAAAACCTCTAGGAAGGAGCATCCAACATCTCTCGTGGGAATCTGTTCCACTGTCAAACAGCTCTTACTGTCAGAAAGTCATTTCTGATGTTTAATCAGAATCTCCTTTCTTGTAAATTGAAGCCATTGGTTCGAGTCCTAGCATCTGGAGCAGGAAAAAACAAGCTTGCTCCATCTTCCCAAGGCATTACCCCTTCTGCTTCTCTCCCCGCCCTTTCAAGTCCACTGTCTTTCTTAGGGGAAAAGTAATGGTCTAACAAAATACCTGGCTGGTAGGGGTGGACAGCCCTAGAACTCTGCAGCATAGTGATAGCTATCTAATCTATAAAATATCTAGCTACCTAGCTATCAGTATGCAGCAGAGTCGTAGAGCTATAGCCACCTCTTTCTCTATTCATTCAAATCTCCCCAACCATAGGTTTGTGATATTTCCAAAAGTAAAATTCCTGACACCCGCAAAGTTTTTTCTTCTTCCAGAAACCCACCCAAATGGTTGATCTTTTGGAGCTGTTTCCACTGCGTTTTCCATCACTCCATTCATCTGGGTTTAGCAAAAATAATCCCCCAATGCAATTTTTACATCCCCAAAACCAGGGCATGTCAGGAATTTTCCTGACATATGGCAAGCCTACCCAACCACCCACCCGCTCAGATCTCATTGCCCCACCAACTCTATTTAGCTGAATGTGTGAGGACATTGTGTAGGGGTCGTGGAGGTCTGCATGCTGCCCTCACCCCCAATATCCCCATCTCCATCTACCCACTCCACCTCCACCACACTATGTTCACCTTGTATATATGTGTAAATAAAAACATGCATCCTAAAGACAGCAGAGTATCTACGGATCATTCCAAGGAAACTGAACCCTGAGTAGGTGCTTGAACCCCTGAAGTCTCTTGCCACTTGAAGACTGGGGTGCACACAGAGCGAGAGTCCACTGCAGTGATACTCCTATAAGCTTGTATTCAATAATACATAGTTCTAATATATTGCTGAGGGTGGGTGGGGAGATATTGAAACAACAGCATCAAAATCCCAAGAAAGAAACACATTATAGCACAGCTCCGTAACTAAATTTATATAGTTCTAGTTTAGCAATTTAAACTGTTTGTATGGTTTATACAGCATATAATTCAGCCCTTCTTAGCATGTTAAATATTCATGCAGGCTCTCAGCATCTCTTTCCACAACACCTCGAAGTGTGGGATTGTAACGGCTCTCAGTTGGGCAATTCCATCTCGCGGATCTAATGGTCTCCAAGGGAATTGAGCTTTGCAAAGTAGCATAAAAATGACTTTGAAAATAAGAAAAAGGGGTGGGGGAGCTTTGCAGGGATGAAGATGACAGCGTAGCCAATGAGGGACGTGATAACATTGTATAAATGCAGGATAAATTGTGGGTGTTCTCCAGAAGTGTGCGATGGCACGGTCAGACTGGGAAGATCAGCAAGAGGGAAGCGAGCAATGAAGAGAGATGGTGGGGGCGAAGTGTGGGAAAGTAAAATAAAAGAGACAATGAAAAGGAGAAGAGGGGCAAGATTCCACCTCATACTCCCCTGCATGCATTAAGGATGCAACAAATATCTGTGACATTCATTTCCCAAAGCAAAAATAATCACACATTCCAACCTAAGGAAAAGTGTTTCAAATGAAGCAGTGGCTTTCTGAATATTTGTGGCAGATCCTGGCTGGGGGGAGAAAAAGAGAAGTAGCAAGGACTGCATGTGAAACTTCACACCTAAGTTAGTTTCACAGAAAGGGAAAAGGAGGCAAAATAGTGATTCCATTAAAGGAGGGAAACAAAATGGGAAGGTGCTTATTGAAATGTACAAGTTCCACCTGTGAGCTTTCCTAGTTTTAACTTTTTTCCTCTGTAGCCTCCTGAAAATCATAGCTAATGGGCCTGCAAAAAAGAAAAAAACCACAACAGGATCAGGCCCAATTTGCCCTCTTATAATGAAGTGCTGGTGTGGACTACACCAGACTTTTCAGCAACAGCTAGGCACCATGCCCAACAGCAAGCTGGTCAGAACTTTGAACAGGTAAAGAGGCATACATGCTAGAAGTCTAAAAGTCCATTCACACAGTTAAGCTCATTCACCCTGCACAGAAAAAGCTGATTGGAATACAGGCTGTAAATTATGATGAGCTGGAAGCCATTTCTGTTCTGATGTCCAGCTCGAACTCCCATTGTGGATATGGCTGCCAATTTACTATTTCCACCCAGTTCACATCAAGTTTTCTGCACATGGTTTTGCATGCTAAAACTGAAAATAAACCAAGATGGCATAGATGTGAGAAACCTGTAACCAGAAAGGAAGAAGCACTAGGTGCCAGACCATAGCAAAGGATGTCACACAAGATGTTGGCACTCATATGAGACGAAAGGGTTGGATCCCAAGGCAGGGGACTCACACGGCACAGGAGATCAGAAACCTGAGGCCTGCGTCATACATCCTAAAGCCTGCCATGTGCTCTCAGGTATGATAGGATAAAAAAGAAATGGTCAACAAGACATTACCTGGCTAATAATTAATCTGAGACAGTGAAAAATTCTGAAGCTTTTGTGTGATGCAGGTTTTCCAAGAGCTCCAGAAGTTCAATTATGGACCTGGCTCAGGAGACCTTTGCTAGCATACCTAGAGGCTAGAAATTCCAATTAAAATGAAAAAAGTATGTTCTACAAATCAGGTGTGTAGTGAACAGCTATCTGAAGTTCTGTGAGTCTCTGCTTTAGGCAGTTTCTAAAGCAATCTCTTCAAATCTAGCACTTGACAATGGAACAATCATTTGCAACGATCAAGGCGGAATTAAGCAATCAATTGATAACATTTCGGGTTGTAGTGGCAGAATGCAGCACAAAAGCCAGAAGTAATGAGATGAAACTTTGGTGACAGTAGAAGAGTTCTATCACCAAGGTGTTGTGTAGCAATCAAGACTCTAGGCCAGCAAGGCTATGCAGAGCCACATCAGTGTAATCTCTAATTCATTTCAGATGCTTGGTTCCTTTCATTAGCCCAACACCTGCACGAGTAAATGGTACAACTTATCCTACATTCTTAATGGGTCTACTACTTGCAGTTCTCCACTTGTGACCCTGAAAATAATGAAAGTTGTTATAAAAGTCAAGAGTGAGCTGAAGCAAGCTGTTCCACTCCACAAAGCTTTGGCCAGGCTTGGCATGGATCCATCCCATTAGGGCTTTGGAACTTTGGATTATGGAAGCATGATTGAACCCTGCAATCCTTCCCAGGCTTGCAGGAAGAGCCAAGCTTCCCCTTCTTTTGCTTTTGTAAATACCTGGTCTGAAGGGCATGTAAGCAGCAACCTGGCATAGCAACAACCACCCTAGGTACATAAGCCAATTAACTCTTAAAACCAGAAACACAAATCATGAATAAAAGCTGGAGCAGTTTACTATTCACATTTAGCTATTTACTTATTAAAATGTACACTTTTGGGGAGAGCAGTGAGGGGCAAAAACAGATGAGGCAAACAACATAAAGCAGGAAAGTACACCAAACCATCTGGAATGCAAGGACAATACCTATGCACTGGCGATTAAACCTGCTATTCTGGCACCACTAAAGACCTGGAGGAACAGGCCTAACATTGATTAGTAAGTTGACTATTCAGAGTATGCCCCTGAGCACCAGCTGCTGAGAATCACAAGTGATGTGCTCAGGTCCTGCTTGCAGACTTCCCATGGGAATCTGGTTGGCCACTGTGAGAACAGGATACTGGGATACACGGGTCTTTGGCTTGGTTCATCAGGGTTCTTCTTTAACAATGTGGGTTTGTCTAGGGAGGGTAGCCTGCATATCTGATATAGCTGTAGATACTAAATGTTATTGTATTCCCAAGTCAGTCTTTTGATTTATCCAGTCCAGTTTGGTTCTATTTGAATTGGCAATAGCTTCTCAAGTTCTCTCAGCCTGTTAGTTCTGAATCATGGGCAGTAGCCTGAGGTGAGCCAGAAGCTTAGAACCAGCACCTATATGACATGCCAGTGGCAGCAGCTTTTGGCTGCTTCCTTGACCTTGCCTCCTGGTTTGTCCTTGAGGTTATCTTTGGCCATGACTACTGGCAGGAAATACCTGCATGTGTGTTCAGGTGGAATTATCCTCCTGCTACTGCTGCTTTCCTGGAGCAGGCTGGGTATGGTGGTGGTGAGGACATGGCCATACAGTTTGGAGTGCCTCCACAAATCCAATGCTCCTGTTGATGTAAACATGTGGCTGTGAGCTCACCGCTGCCCCAATCCAATCCACATAGGCAGCAGCAACACTTGGGCTGGATCTAGATACATCAAAAAGGTGTTTCAGAAAAACACGTTGTAAACCTCAAAGGGGGGAATCACATTGGCAAAAGACGGGACTCCACAGTGCCATCTGGTGTCACAGTGTTATAAAGCATATAAAATGCTTTTTCTTTACTAATATAGCTGGGTCCATGCATTAGGAGGCTCTTCCTCACGACAACCATGCCAGGACTCTGTCCTTCCCAGTCCTTGCAGCCCTCAAATTCCCAGCAACCTCCTCCAACCACCTCCCTCCCAAACAGCAGAGGCACAAGAACCAGCAATATAAATGACTGTGGACTGAACAAGACAAGCCTAACCTATGGACAACAGGCTGAGCAACATCTGTTGGCCTAAAAGATTCACCGGGAGATGCTAAGAACAGATTTGTAACCATGGTAGTGCCCAAGTGTGAACAGAAAAGGCAGCAGAATTTGTCAAATTTGTCAAAATTCTATGCTTGGGCTGCTCTGGCATGCTTTCTCCCTTGCTCAATATATGCCAGAGCACGGGACTCGTCCTTCCACTGAAGATTCAATATGGTTTGGTTTACTTTGCTGTTTCATGTTGTTTGCCTCATTTTGCTTTATTGATTGTGCGCTTGTGGGAGGCTAGAGACAAATAATGTAATAAAGTGCCCTTTGGGGAATGGTCCAGTATTTGTTGAAAGGCAGACTGAATAATCTATGCCTGTTTCAAAAGCTTGAGCTTCTATCTGCCAGACTTCTCTTTCATCTACGCTTTTATATCTCTCACTATCATTTTACTGGCATCATCAGATTTACTCCTGACGAGTGCAACGGAGACAGGAAGCAGTTCTAGAGTAATCACTGATTTAAGAAGAGTTACATACAAGATTACTTCAGGCCTACAATTCTGTTCTATCAAGTTGGCCGATAAAAAGACAGAAATAAAAGTATCATTTTCTCCTTTGCTTTCCCCCAGAGCGGCTTGAAGCCAGTAGGGAAAAGAACAAAACGCTTCTGGTCGATACTACTAATGCTAGTACTAATAAGTACTACTAGGGCATGTATATTAAAGGAGGGGAATAGAGATCACTTCATGTAGAGCATCAGTGGATAACATTTTTTGCAGCCCATGAACTACATTGCCTTCTGGGCAACTTTCTGGGGGCCACAAGCTTGTGGTCGCTGGGGCTAGAGGCAAAATTGGGCAGATTAATTAATATAGCTATTACCTGCTTCAATCTGACATCCTCTAAAATGAAGAAGGGAGAGTCTTCTTTGCTCAAAGGCATCCTGAATGGTGCACTTACTAAGCCATTAATCTGGCAAGGTAGTGTGGGAAGTACTCAGTTCATCTAGTCCAGAAGAAGAAGCCCTTGAGAGTCCCAGCCCTTGTGCCATGAGATTTGGTTCAGTGGGTTCCTGCCTGCAAGCTTCTGATGCAATGAACCCCTGACCACAGCATCACTCAGAACCTGGAATCTGGTCCAGCTCAGCAGCTGGTGACCCTGCAGGCTCTAACTTGGTGTCCCGCTCACTGTTTTGGGCCTATCCTCAACAACCCATGTTCTTCATTGCTCAGACTCTAACTTAGTACCCTGTTGCTCATGTAACTCCTACCCCTTATGCCTACACTTGACATCCAAAGTATTTTATTCAGGAGTACAAAGCTCCAGCCACTCTACAAAAATGCCAAAGCCACATATGGCCTGCTAGGAGAATTTGCAATCTGCAATGCCATTTTGTGTTTTTATTTTTTAAAATCATTAGGATGTGGGTGGGAAAACTTTTTTTCCAGCTTGAGGTCCACATGGCAACCTTATGAAAGCCACATGGCAGAAGTGAGTGGATCTGGGGGAGAAAATTGATGGAACAACGAATGTTGAATTTACCTATGTACCATAGGCTAGTTTCTACAAAGACTCTCACATGGTTCTCTCTACTCTCTATCCAGACCACCAAGAGGCATGATCAGAGTTCAGGTACACATTTCAGTCAAACAAAGCCCCTCAGTAAGGCTGCATATCAGGACTGCTGGGGGTTGTGGTTTGGGGAGAGTAGGATATTAGGGGCCTCGTTAAATCAAGCTACCAGTATATGTTGTACTGTCTATTCTTCCTACTGTAGAAGCATCTCTCTAACATCTCAGAGATGTGGACAAGCTGAGCTAAGCAGACGTTCCATACTCTCCAACATTCTGCTGATTAATATCGGAATGCACATCTTTCAGTCCTGTACTCCCATGCAAGCCAGATGGGGGTTCCCAACCCCAGCTCCCGTTACTGGCAGCTGCTCTTTCAGTGAGCACTGGACCAACACCTCCAGCTCCTCTCCCTTTTCCCTGTCATCACCCTCGTCTTCATTGGTTTCTTCCACTCCTCCAACAGGGGTGTCATTGGGTAGAGAAGGTGTGGCAGCTGGGCCTGACCTGCACCACCACCAGTCCTCCCTCCTCCCCTTCCATGAGCTCCAGCTCAGGTGCCTTCATTTGCACAAAAGATACACATCTATTGGTGCCAAGCTCCCATGGGAGCCTGCTGACTCAGGCAAGAATTCGGCACCAAAAACACGACATCCGATCAGAAGCTGGGATGGCTTCTGTAATTCTGGGGTGTCCCAATCAAATCGGGACTGTTGATGGATATGAGATTTCTAGGCTAGGACCAGGTACAAAGAATTCATTTATTTTACTATTCAACCAGCAACCAGCACATGAGAATAACACACATGAGAATAACAACAGAGGGAGCAGGGAAGTGAAGCACTCCAGAAATCAATACACAATAAAATGTACTGGAATAAAATAACAAAGCGTGTTCTCCTTCATGGAGAGCACGTGTTGTGGTGGGGTCTGCTGAGCCACCCCTCTGTTACCAGGCAGGGTCTCTAAAGATGGCCTGGGGCAGTGATTGGTTCACTGGGTTGCTGGGGTAAAAGTTATGTTGCAATTTTGGTGGGAGGGGTAAAATGTTTAAATACTCTGCACACAGCCTGGAGCTTTCTCTTTGCTGCGTGCAACGGATTACCAGGAGCACTTGGACCGTCTGGAGGACAGTGGAGCGATCTTCTCATTGTCTGGTTACATTTTTTTATTTTCCCCTTCTTTTTAATCTTCTCTAGTCCCTTAATTAATTTATTAATTTAATTCCCCTTTTTTCTGTTTGATTTCGCACCCCACCCCTTACCCTGCCCTTTGGGAAGATTCTCCCTTTACCTGTGAGCGCTGCCTGTGCATATTCCTCCTGGGCTTGCCTTTCCCAATAGGGAGAGAGCCCCCATTAGGGGCTTTCTTTTGCAAAAAGGTTTTCCCCATTTTCGCCTGTTTAAGTGTGGGGCTAGTCAGGGCTGTTCCCAGCTTACCTGGAATCACTTTCGTTTATAGTATCCTCATAGGTTGGCTTTATTTTGGGTGATTGCAGTGCTGTTGGCTGAATTTTAATCTAGCCTTGGGCGGGAGCACTATTTTGAGTTCCTTTAATATTGCAATGAGACAAAAAAGGCAGAGAGCAGAAGCAGGGAGGCCTGCACGGCCTGCACATATCATTCAAGCCTAAGCCTGCTACAGTTAGCAGTACAGTAAATTGTTAGGTTTCTGTGACATGTGACTCATTCTCTCTATTAAGAATGTATCTGTTTGTTTGCAGGCTCACTTGTTGCTAATGTATATCGTAGGCAGACAGAGTGGAGCCAGAGGCTCTCTGTGCCTCCAATGAGCACTCTTTGTATGCTCTTTAACTATGCTGTTTCTGAACAAGTTTATTTTCTTCAAGTTTGTTTTTCCCTGATAGTGGCGACTGCCATTTTAGAGACGAGCCATTGTGGCTTAGTGGCTAGAGTACAGGACTAGGACCTGGGAGACAGGGTTCATATCCCCCACTTAGCCATTGTTATAACAAAGCAAAACAAGCTGCTCCTTTTGGACTATTTTGTTGCTGGGTAGTTTGGCCCATTTGTGTTATTGCTCCCAAAAAGAACTTTGGGTTTCTTGAGGAGGTGCTTCCCTCTAAAGGGCAAGCAGGGGTACCTGGACAGGCGGTGGGCTGCCTCGAGTTTGTTATCATTGGAAACATTTATGTCTGGCCTAGCAGGTGATCCTAAGGCTTGGCCCGCTTGGCCCTAGAATTTGATGGCCTCTGGCAGCATTTCTGGCCTGAATAGCATCCCCATGTGGTGCACAAAGCATTGGTTTCACCTGTTCCTCACGTTGTTTAGGTTTTTTCTTTTTGCAGACTTCAGGGCCTTTGCAGATGCCTCCAGAGCTTTCCTCTCCTGCAGAGGATGACTTGCTGATGCCCCAGGGGCCTTCTTCCAGAAGGAAGCGTCTTCAGAGGCAGGAAAAAGCGGAGCAGGGATGATGCTTACACCTCCTTGCAGGTAAATCATCCCTGGGCTCTGATGATGATTCAGACATCACCTTGGACCTCTCCAGGGGTCAGGGTGAGGCTGTTCCAGGTCTTTAGGGATCATCCTGGATAGCTCAGCTGGTCAGCGTATGGTGCCGGTAATGCCTAGGTTGCAGGATCGGTCCCTGTATGGGACAGCTGCATGCTCCCTCATCACTCTACCCGGACACTGAGGTCCAGCTCCAAGGGCCTTTCTGGTGGTTCCCTCACTGTGAGAAGCCAAGTTACAGGGAACCAGGTGGAGGGCCTTCTCAGAAGTGGCACCTGCCCTGTGGTACACCCTCCCACCAGATGTCTACTACCAGACTTTTAGAAGACATCTAAGGCAGCCCTGTTTAGGGAAGCTTTTAATGTTTGATGCATTACTGTATTTTAATATTTTGTTGGAAGCTGCCCAGAGTGGCTGGGGAAGCCCAGCCAGATGGGCGGGGTACAAATAGATGATGATGATTATTATTATTATTATTATTATTATTATTATATTGTGGGAGAGTGGACTAGATGATCCTCGGAGTCCCTTCCAACCCCACTATTCTATAAGTGGTAATTCACTATGATGGGAATGCTAGACGCAGGGCTGCCATCATCCCCTCAGCTCGCTAGGATCGCAGGGACGGGGACATGTGGACCACTTGCGCAGCTCCACATTTCAAATGGAAATTCCCTGAGCAATAGAACCTGAAGCTGGTATGCAGGAAGCTGGCCCGGTGGCAGCTTTGTTGGGACTTCTTTAGGGTTTCTGGCCAGCGTTGGCCCTGTAAATTTACACATCATGGTGGCAACACAAGGCAGGGCTTCTTGCCCAAGCGGGGGCTGGCAAGCAATAACTCAATACCTCTCGCCCATATTTCCATATTTAAATATTTGAATTTAAATGTGAAGAATTAAAGTGAAGTCTGAAGTGAATAAAACCAGGTGGCCAGCTTCTTAAAAAGTACAAACAACACAAATCCTAATGTGGAAAGTTTAAAAAGAAAAAAAAGAAAAGAAAACCCCCAAATAAATTAAATATATATATTAAAAAACAATATCATAATATACTTCTTACAGAGTCCCACCATCCGAAGTGAAAGAATAATCACCTCGTGTAATGATGACTAACATTAAAACAAAACAAAAACCCTGCACACACAAAAGCCTCCCAGAACATTGTCAGACGAAGATAAGAAGTCAGGCGGCAACAACGCTAGAAGCACAAAAGGAAAAGTCTGCTCCCTATAAAACAAAACAACAAAGGGAAGCAGACATTAAAAATCCATACTGCAAGCTGTAAAATAGATTGCTGTCATGGATATAGACCTGACAGGACCTGTAGTTGTGAAAGTGCTGAAACGAAACAGACCAGGAGTTAATGAGCTATGTGGTGCACTTACTTACAGCCAGCCACTGTGGCAGGAGTGCTTTCTGACAGCTGGAGAATTATATGGGGCTGATTCAAATGTACTAAAAGCCTCTGGCCCCACTGACATGTATCCAGGCACGGCATATTAACCGTGCAGTGTCCCTTTAAGAACCATCCACCTTCCAGCCTACCTTGCTTTGTTTGGGCTCACAACACCCTGCTGCAGGCTAGCATTTCTCTAGACGTTAGCTGAGGGGTTTCCTGGTCACCCAGCCCACAATTCCCTAGTGAATATTTGGTGGTATGACACCCTCATGTTTTCCGTCCCCTGTCCAGCAAATAATGTTGGAAACTTGGGAGGCTATTTTTGCCTCCCAAAAGCAGCCTTGCCTCAATCCCAGGATGGTGCTCCCTGACTTGATGGTAGCCAGATGTGATAACAAGCCTTAAAGGCATTTCTCACTCCTACTGCTATTTATGTCAAGTAGAGGTTTTTATGAGTATGATTTCGCTTTCCTCTGACAATGCATAACTCCTATGGAGCACCATGGCTCAATGGCAGGGTATCTGTTCGAAGGCAGAACATTGCTGGTTCAATATTCAGCATATCCAGTTTGGGCTGGGAGAAGCACTGCTTGAACCCCTGGAAAGCCACTGCTGGTCAGTGCAGATGTTACACTGGTGGGCCAGTGTTCAATCTGGGTATAAGCTTCTGGCATTAGCAGTTACGGGTCTCTGTCTCTGCAACATAACCATTATGTTTAGGGCAAGAGGGCCAGCAAACACTGGCTTGAAATGCAGAGGAATTTAAAGTAGTGGAAAGAAGATGAAGTTGAGGCATAAAATCAACGATCCACCAAGCAGCATCCCTGAGTAAAAATAAAACGTTGAAAAGCAACAATGCTGAATTGATTAATTTCCAAGATGATGCACTGATGGACCTGTGGCACTACACTGCTCCTAATAGGACCATTTAAAAAGAGTAATCGAAACAAAGCTCTGCATGCTTGCAAATGACAACACAGTTCTGCGAAGAAAGGAAAACGAAGTCCTACCACATCAAAGACTCATGGAACAAAGACTTTGCTATCCCGATTATCTCCCTGGATTTCCCTTGGAAATCAAAGTTTAAGCATCTATCAGACACACTGACACAGAAAGATATCCTGGTGGTGTAATCAGGGGAGGCAACAGGAGTTTAACTTTCATGTTCTAAATGCTTTTTGTTTTTGGCTACTTGAAAAGCGCAACAGTGGGGAAAGTGATGCCTATTTGCTTTGAAGAAAAGTTCAAATGTTCAAGCCAGATCCCCCTCCCCATTCCTGCCATTTTGAGCCACTTCTGCTGAGCCACTTCTGAGTCCAAACCTAGTTCAATTAGAACCAAAAACACATGTTTCCACCTTCAATGGATGCACTGATCTCACAAACCTGTGTAATTTACTGGCATGAAAAATGAACTGTGATGGCTCACAATGGCCACCTCAAATACGCAATGAGCATTATGACACCCCAAACTAATTTTTACCACCTCTACCATTCGCTCTCTCATCAGCAAACAACCAAAGCCATTCCAACTGCACACTATTCTAACTGCTGCCCCAGCAGCAGGAAGGATGTCATATCTGCACAAGTGCTGAGGGGTGGGGAGATAGGGGCCACTTGCACACCTTCTGTTGAAGTTGTAGCAGTAGTCACAAGAAAAGCAGATAGACAGGAGGTAAAAGGTGTATTGAAAGCTCGAAAGGGAGTTTGGGAGAGACTCGGGGCACAACAATGTGTAATCTTCGTTCATAGGAAGCAGCACAGTTTATTCCAATGCAACCTGAGTTTATTCTGAGCTAATTTGAGCAGAACTGGGGCAAGAGAGGTTTGTCATAACTACTAAAGTAATACCTCCGCGAACGTCCGCCTTGTCTAGCATCCATTCTGGCAAACATCCACAGCAAACCCAGAAGTACTGAAACAGGTTATCTCTGGGTTTGCCACTCATGCATGCACAGAAGCGCAAACTGCTCCCTGATTGTGCACAGACGCGACACTTTGCCCTGCTTCCTTTTCGGCTAGCGGCCAGAGCTCCAGAACAGATCCTGTCCGCAAAACGAGGTATGACTGTACAAGGAAGTAAAGTGGAAGGAAGTAAAGTGGGTTAGCAGCATACTGTTTTTACTTGAGTCCTCAGGCATTCAAACTGAATGTGTGAAGAGAGCAGCAGTGTTGGGTGCACAAGTCCCACTTCCCAAGTGAGATCTTTGGATCCTCTACACGATCAGAAACCCTGTACAGTTAAAGGTTCAGTGCAGACCTTCCCACTCAATGCAGGAAGGGCGGGGGAGCACATGGCCCCCATTGCTATGCCCTATACAGCCACTCCACCCACCCACGTTTCTTGAATGCTAGAACAGAAACAGAAGTTTGGAGATGATTACATTCATTAAGCCTTTTCAGGCTTAATGAACTAAAGAGGAACTAAATTGAACTAAAGAGGAACATCAAACTGCCTACACTTTCTTTCACTGTTTCAGAGAAACACCAGCATGTTCTGGAGCTTTGCAGTACCCCCCCCCCCAAAAAAATATGGGTCAAATGTTCCATATTTTTCCCCCAATGAAATTTACCAGCTGCAGGTTCCACATGAATGATAGGAAATAGTCTGATCCAACATGGTAGCACTTAGCTCCTTAGGAAACCCTTGACAAATGTGCTATGCCAGTAATAGAGAACCTGTGGTCTTCCAGGTCATGCAGAATGCCAGCTCCTACCATCCCACCACTGACCATGCTAGCTGGGTGTGATGTGAGGGGGTACAACAATATATGGAGACCTAAAGGTCCACCACCCCGTGTTATGTCCTTTCCTTTTAAAACAGAATTCATAATATCCATAGAGAACCTATTAAAAATCTTTAAACAGTGCTCTAACAGAAGATGACATTTTAATGGGTCCTCCAATCACCTTCATTTAATTGCAGCTTTATAATGTTATGTCTGTTGTTAACAGTGTTACACACATTGAGCTGCATACCTAAAGGCAGATTGATGGCAACACAGATGCTGAGAAAATGCCAACACACTCTGCATCTGCATGTAGAGTGTTTGTTCGCTCTTTTATTATTGCTATCACAGTGCAAAGCTTGTTTTGATGCCATTAGTGATGGAGGGAGAGAGAGAGAGAGAGGAATAGCCATCTTTGGCATGTTTTATTAATACACTAAAGTTTTCTTTATAATTCCACCTTGGATATATCCATTTCCATAATGAAGTTCGTGTTCTAGCTTTTTATAATTATTTCTACTCAGAACAAAATTACGTACACTTTGGCTGAGAGAGGGGGAAGAATGAATTGTGCTGCAATCAGGTAAGATAATAACATGGCACAGTAACCTTTCTTTTCTTTTCTCTCTTTTTTTTCCTGGAGAAACTACTTTCCGGAAACTATCAAAGCTGCTGTTAAAAGTGAATTTTTCATTATATGATCAAGCAGTGATGGGAGATGCCATTCTCACTCCCGTTAGGTTCAGAATTGAGCTTGACAAATACACACACACACACACACACACCCTTGGGAAATTGCTCCCCATCCCCCATCACCTGTGTGTTCCTTGAATGAAATAAAATAATTTTGGAAAATATTCCAAGTCTGATGGGCTCCTGATTATAGCACTAGGGGTGCAACAGGAACCTTCTTTCCTTCCCACAAGTATCTGTGAGCCCTTGTCCGTTTCTATGATAAAGAGAGGCTTTGTGCTGGAGCTTGGAGCTCAAAGTGAGCTTCTGCTTTAGCAGCGAAGTAGCTCAGGCAGAGAATTTATACAGGACCTGGAGGTTCCATACTCATAAATACATATATTCCTAGATTGCAGGCGCGCACACACACACACGTACACAAACACACACATGTGATTATACCATCATGCAGCCAGATGCTCTGCAGAATGTGCAGCTGATGTACGATGAAACACACGGCTCTTTAAAGCATTGAGTTAAAAATTGGGCCACTGATTAAACTAACGTTATCAGATGGATTAACGAACTGAGGGGGAAAGTAGAGAGACTCTCAAAGAGACAAATTCTGTTGTGAGGCAAGCCCGTCTGTTTGATACTTCCCATTTCAGAGTCAGATAAATGCAAAACACATTTTATTTCAGCAGCATCAAAGAGTCTGAAGAAGAATAAAAGGAAGGAAAAGCAGCCTTAGAAAGGTTAAAGCCAATCTTGTAAAAGTCAAGATAATTTTAGTGTTATGAATCACGGTTGTATCTGATTAGAGATTATTGTCTCCTGAGCCTGGGTGAACAATAAGCTGATGATCACTTTTAAGGGAACTTTTTGCTTCTTCCTCAAAAGCTAGAAATCAACTGGGAGGTCATTGCCTCCCACCCTTTCCCTGCTTTTATTTCATTTCAGAATATAGTTTCAAAAGCTGCTTATAATAAAACGGAGAAGAGAAAAGAGAAGGAAATCTGATGACTGTTGAAGTTTATAAGAATAAGTAAATAAGACAAACAGCTGAGGGTTTTCAAGCAACAGACACAAAAAAAGGGCAAGGCAGTTTAATTTGAGGATAAAGCCGTGAAGATGGGTGCAGGTAACTCACATCTTACACAAAGGTTTGGTTCTGGGTTTCCATGTGTGTATGTGAACTCATGTAAAGCCAGGAACCCCTGGAACTTCTCCCCCCCCCCCCCAAGGCGGAGGGCTGCCTACCTGGCTTTGGAAAGATGGCAGCAGGGCTATGGCATTGGTCTCAGAGCCCTGTGGCTCCCTTCCCAAAGCCTAGTAAGTCTGTGACCACAGCTTTGTACAGGTGAAGGGGAAAATGTGTGAAAACATTTTCAAACATACTTTTTTAAAAAAGCAAACTGATGGGAAAATGGAGTGAACCAAATTTAAGATTGAAACAACAGAAGTGGTAGAAACCTAAAACTACTGGCTAATTCCTGGTTTGACATCAACATATAATGTTAATTATGCATGAGAAGTCTTAACATTGCTGTTCTTGTCCCCATAAATTGTGCATTTCCATATGCAGTCTTTCCATGCTGTCAGAAATCCTACTTGACTAGGCAGTTCCCATTTCCAACATCATATAGGATCCAAGTGTATCAGAGTTGAGTTGAGGGCCATACGCAGGTTCAATCTCCAGCATCTCCATGTAGCAGTGAAAATGCTCTTGTTTGAAACTCTGGAGAGATGCTTCCAGTGTGGACAATACTGGGATGTCAAGGCTGGAAAAGTGATGTACCGTACGCTTTAGATACATCCCAGTTGAACTACTTTAGTTTTTTGGGGGAAAACACGTTTGGAAGCTTCAGCTGGTCCAGAATGCTGCAAGCCAGACTGCTGACTGGGGACAGTTTCAGAGAGCAACTTCACTGGCTACCACTCCATTTCCATGGATAATTCAAAATGCTGGTTATGACCTATAAAGCCATATATGACTTGGGCCCAGGTTACCTGAAAGATCACAGCTCCCTTTAGAAACCTGTCCACCTGCAAAGACCCTCGGGTGAGCACCTTCTCTTAGTTCCATCCACATCAGAGGCATGGTTGGCGGTGACACAAGAGGCAGCCTTTTCTGTGGCTACTCCCATAATGTCAAACTCCCTTTCAAGAGAGGTTAGATCTAACAGCAGGCGAACACCTTCCTATTCAGACAGCCCTTTGAAAACTAAGTGCAGACTGTCAGAGCAATCAGCACTTTAATGCTGGTTCCACATGTGTTTTAGTGTATTTAACGATTGTTTTAAACTTGTTTGTTGCTATTACTTTGCATTTTATAATAAAGTTTCTGAAATGTTGTAAGCTGCCCTGAATCCCAGCTTGGGAGAAAGCTGAGATATTAATGCTAATAATAGTAATAATACTGCACTAGATGGACCAGCAGTCTCTCTCAGTATAAGGCAGTGATGAATGATGGTCCATGGGTTCCATCCATAGAAGACGTTATTCTAACCAGCCCTATAGCCGTATGGATAAATATATACAATAATTCTTCATGAAGCTGAAAGGATACCCTAAACAGGCTCCTTTCAGATCTAAATCACCAAAACTATTTTCAAAGCAATTTCAGGCATTGAGAAGCACTGTGGGTTTCAGATGTGTGTGCCCATGATATGATAGGCACCTGCATTGTCTGAATTCATAAATTACATCAGTAAATCTGTACTGGCATGTAGATCTTGTACCGTAAGAGTGTGTATCTAAAATTATCCCTGCTAATCATCATCTCACCCAATTAAAATGAATTGGTTTTATAGCAGCACTGACCCAAACCTTGCATCCCTCCTATCATCAAAACCCTTAACCAACTGTTTTGTTGACTGCAAATAGCACACATGGAAGAATAATTAATGCAATTATCAAACTTTAATGCTTATCCAAAAAGCAAAGAGGAAGAAAAAAACCCACCCTCTGCAATAAATCTTATTTTGTACTTAAGAAGATTAAAAAGCTTCCCCAGGAGTCCAAGAGACATTTATGTGTTTTGATCTGAAAAGGAATATGAAATAATACAGATGACAGCAAATCACATCACACATACCCAGTCTGTTGCCCTTAAAGGGAGACTACTGGAAAGAAAGGCAGCCTCCTAGAATAAATGCAGCAGGAAGAAACAGCAAAGGTCTGTCTATCAGTGTTAGCTCCACAAATCTAGGGCAAAAACTCTGTGCAGGTACTAGTGTATAGAACAGCTGACTTGGGTGCTCTAACCTGTGTTTGACAAGGATTGCGGCTCCATTCTTAGGTTGCAGAGGACTCTGAAATGGTGAGAACATCCTCTGGGTTGAAAGGGAGATGACTGGATGGTTAATGAGAAGAATTGCTATGGAATTCTGCAAAAAAAACCCTGTCCTGTTAGGTCAAAGCCAAAGGTTCATCTTCTCAAGTCTTCCATTGCAACAATTCCAAATAGATTCATCTTAAATTCATCTTCTAGGAGGACCTTGAGCAGGGCAAGAATGCCATAGTCCATCACTGTTCCTTGCCTCCTGGTAGCCTATATTAATATTCTAAAGCCGGCAGTTCCATTCACTGGTCATATAACTTCATATATTGCTAACATACAACATATGCTCCATGGAGTTGTCTAATCTCACTTTAAAGGACATCTATAGAAACTGAATACAGAATTTGAGGATGCTAAGCAAAAGCGCCTGAAGGTTTCCTTTGGGGAGGAAGGAAGAGATAAAAGTGAAGCAAATCTAGTGAATATTCTCTAGCAGGTTTTGCCCATTAATTGGAAGGCAAAGGTTCCCATTAAAAGATTTTAAGTGCAGGAATGAAGTTGGAAGTACCCACCTGACCATGAATTAATGAGAAATGGTTTTGCAGTCAAGGGACACCAGAAGCTGCCTTATATGGAGTCAGACCACTGCTCCATCTAACTCAGTATCGCCTGTACTGACATGTAGCAGTTCTCCAGGGTTTCATGAAAGAGTCTCTCCCAGCCTTACCTTGAGTGGCTGGCTGGGGACTGAACCTGTGACCTTCTGCATGCAAAACATGCATTACATTGCAGAACTGTGGCCATTGCTCCACCTAATATCTGTATAGGCTTGTCATTGAAGGGAAGAAGGACTTCCAGTTCAGAATAATACTGACATCATTTTGTCTTCTTCGTTTGCCTTCTAAGAACCTTCTCAGTGGTGAACGCCCTTTCCTGCAAGACATGTCTGAGCCACCATGCTTTAAGTGCCACTGGAAGATAAACCACTTTGTGCAAGCTTTTAGAAAGGGTTGCTGAAATAAGACCCTATGCTGTTGGATGTATTATGCATTAGGATTCTTTTTCTATCTGATGTTTTAAATAGCCGAGCTTGCATCATCTTCGCCTGTTGTGTACGTACTGTGTTGTGATGCTCTGAGGGATCACTGACCAACAAAGGGGTTAACATTTACCTTTTTCAGGTGAATGGTGAATGAATGGTGAAAACTAGGAGGTTTTTCAATGAGACATAATCAAATAGCAATGAGAGTGAGGGATGGTTAGGTAAATGGGCTTCCTTTTACTACAAGGCAGGAAGTAAAACACCACTGAGCATCCAGGTAACCTGTAAGTACAATATCTTCCTTGCAAAGGTTTACAGGAATAGTTTTAAAAGCTGCCTTCAGGGTGGAGACATTATTATAAGAACCAACCCGGAGCCGCAATGACTCAAGATGTTAGTTGACTTACATTGGGGTTAGGATTTTGTGTGTGGGTTGTTCAACTCTGGCCACTAGGTGGCATGGGTGATCAAACTGCTTGAAGCCATTTCTTTACATTTGAAACTCACTTTTAACTAGATGTATGTTGTAGATGTTTGCATGAAAACCAAGAGCAATATTCTGAATGTTTTGTCATTGATGACTTTGATTCAAAATAATTTGGAGTGAATCAATTTTGATCTTTTGTTTAATATCATTTTTTCCCCAATTACTGTTTTGCCTCTAACTATTCGTTTCTCTAATTCCCTAGATTAACAAAGACCTTGACTAACACTGGTTAATTATTTCTGAAGCTACAGGCTTTTAAAAAATTGAATTCAGAAGAGAAGATAGTAGTTATGAGCCATTAACGTCATCTTTTTGCATCAAATACTGCATTAAAATCAAACCACATGAATGTGTAATAATGTACAATTTCCCATCATTTCTAAGATTACTTAATGGGTTATTGCCCATCTGAATGAGATATTCCAATCATTACTTATTTAATAACATTTGCCAGTTATTGCCAGGAATAACGTGAGCATCTTATTTATAATGACAAGTCTGCTTATGAAATTCATTCAGTTTTCTTTGGTTGGGAGAATTAAAAGAGGAGTCATGTTCTAACATCACCTTATCTTCTGTCTACAAAAGTGTTTGCCTTATCTCAGTCAACAGAGATGATGAAGATAAAGGATGATATGACCTCATGGATTCCTTACTGGTTTTATTGCAGCCACCTTGACGGTGCTTTGAGATGAATTAGTAAGCAGGAGACATGTATCTCATTATCTATGCCCCTCAACCTCGTGTTTAATCAAGATTTTAAACATGTGATTGGGAGGGGAAGGAGGAGACTCACCCAGACTGTATTCAGGTCTGCTCATCGCCATCAGTCTGGCACCCCTGACAGCCCCAGATTACTGGGGGGGGGGGCAATCTGACCATGGGAAGTCTGAGGCTGCCTCAACCCAATCCAGCCAAATCTCAGGTCCACCTGAGGCAGTCCAGTCCAGTTCAGGACATGGGATTCAGCTGGATCCGATGTACAGCTGTAATATAGATGCAAGTTTAAGAATAAATTTTGTAGTGTAAATAGAAATGAAAATGCATCTCACTAAAGAGGAATAGACAGTAGCCAGTCAACCTGTGCATCCAGGTGTTAACTGTTGGCACACCTTGTCAAGGTCTCTGGTGTCCCCTTTTAGGGTTATTTTATCTTTAATTCAGATTTGAACCAGACAACTATTCAAAATATGCACACTCCTTCAGATAAATTTCTCTCTTCTGACAATCCTTCAAATAGAGGACTGTAGGTGCCTGCTTCCGCCTAATTGCAGGGTGGACAACCTCAGCTAGAAAGTATCACACAAAGGAATCCCTTTCAGGCAGTCAAAAGGTATAAAGGTACGTGCTCACAAATATTTTCAGCTGCAACCTAGATTGCGCCTAATTCTCTCTATCTTTTAATTTCTGGAGTAGCATAGAAGTGCCTAAAAACTGCCTCTTGATGGGACTGTTGAATAAAACCTCAAGATATTAGAATTATAATTATACTATAATGGCTGCCAAACAATAAAGTTCTCTTAATAATAATAATAATAATAATAATTTTTATTTATACCCCGCCCTCCCCAGCCAAGGCCGGGCTCAGAGCGGCTTGCAAGCAATAATAAAAACAAGATGAATGATTACAACTTAAAAACAAAAATAAAATGCAACATTAAAATAATGGAACATTAAAATATTAAAATGTAGCCTCATTGCAGGAGGAGAAGGAAAAGAAAAAAGAGAGGGAGGGAGGGAATCAAATTGGCTCCAAGCCAAAGGCCAGGTGGAACAACTCTGTCTTACAGGCCCTGTGGAAAGAAATCAGATCCTGCAGGGCCCTGGTCTCATGAGGCAGAGCGTTCCACCAGGCCGGAGCCAGAGTTGAAAAGGCCCTGGCTCTGGGTGAAGCCAGTCTAACTTGGCTTTTATGCCATGTGTAAAAATTACTGAGCAGAACAGAACCCTTCCTTTACCAACAGAGTGACTGGTTTAAAAAAAACCATTCAGGTTAAAAAGGAGTAGGAACTGTGACAAAAATCTTAATTAGAGGAAGGAGGACGGGGAACAAAGAAAGGTATCAGCTTTTGCCCTTTAACATTCCTCCAAGAGAGCCATTGGACAGCTTATGTTCTCATTCCTGGCTTATGTTTTCATCCCATCTAGAACCTGATTAAAACATATAGTTTACAGGGTTGGCGGAGATATTGAACAGTGAGCATAGTCATCATGGTTAGTTGCCATTGACAGCCTTCTCCTCTGTGAATTTGTCTAATGCTCTTTTTTTAGAGCTATCCACGTTGGTGGCCATTGCTGCTTCTGGTAGGAGCAAATTCCATATGAGGCAGTGATGGCCATCAACTTGGATGTCATTAAAATATTAGTCTAGAATTGGCCATGCCAGCTGCAGTCAATGAGTTCAATAGAAATTGAAGACTACAACCTGATGTGCCAGAGGTCCATAGCCTCCACTGACCATTTGTAGATAAAAAAAGATGTCATTGGGAAGCTGAGAATGACAGGGACATAACAGAGTTATGTTTAAAGAAACTATGATCTTTTCCTCTGGGAGGAAGGGCTCTAAAATCCCCATTCCCCTAGGAATAACAGCAAGGCAAATGTTCTCTTAATCTCAAGATAAAGCTAATAATTGTGAAATCATCAGCAAGTAGAACCATTCTTAACGTCCCTCTCTACTTAGCTATATATTTTAGCATGCTATGCTCTCAAATGACAAGCTGGCCAATGTTGCAGGTCGCACACATTCCAACTATCTTGTTATATCCCACATTACACTCCTTATTTTTCATAACCATGCAATGCTCCCTACTTCTGCATTATTGAGGAACTGCATTTAATTAGATGTGATGTGTCTTGCATTTCCACCACACGGTCTTTCACTGGGGATCTTTGTACTTGGCCTATACAATAGATTCACAATGTGCCATCCAAATTTAAAGACCAATATGTGTTTTGGGTTCAGGCTGCATGCAGCCCTGTGGATTATTTTATGGAGCAAAGGGGCATGGCAGTTATACTTTGCTTCATCTCAACAGACCAGGACTGCTCAGTGGCATTAACAGGCATTTATATTGTACAACATGACTGTCTACTTTTTCCTTTAAAGCCATGACCTCTCTTCTTATCCCCCCCCCCCTTTTGCTTTCCCACAAATAATACAGTCTACTCTAAAATGTCATGGGTAGAGGTAACAAAAAAAACTTAATCTCTGATCTGTCATATGAGCTGGAGATTCATTACCAGGGATAGATTTTACTTTGCCTGTAATATGCAACTAAACACATTAACTTGGGAATCTCTTCCTTGTCCAACTGAGGCAAGCAGCAAAGTGTGAGTTAATAGAAGACAAAATACCTTTTAGAAGCCACCAGCTTACATGCTTGCTTAGTTTACCATTGCAAGCCTATTGACTGATGTGTGCATCAATCAATACAGTGTTAACTGGAGAACCAAAGATTCCTCCCCTCCACCATAGACCAGAGAATGAGGTGATAGAAAATACTTCAGCATGGGCTTATTTTCTCTGCAGCTTTTTAAGACAGGCTAAAGCCACCATGGTACCCATCCCCAATTACTGGCTTGGGCAAATGAGTGTTTGAGTCCAGCAGTGTCTTGACTTCCCCTGTTTTAATACGCGGACTGATGTTTTCTCTGCAAAACCTGGAGGGTTCAATCAAAAACTTTGACTTCACCCCCCTCCACTCCAAAGGTGCACTTCTCCATTGTCTCCTAAGACAGACGGATGCCATCAACAAAACCAATCATCAAAAACAATGGGGTTCTAGAGATAAAGGGACAACTTTTCAGTGCAAACTGAACAATACATTGCAGATTTGTGTGTTGTAGAGAGCATGGTACAATATTCCCACAGGAGAAGAGGGACTGTGGATTTTATTAGATCTCCATGTCCTAGAATTGTTGTTAAAAAGAAAAAAAGCTGTGTGGAGAAAGCTTGGTTTTAGGTTATGAACTGTTAATGACACTCTGGGAAGAGCGGGGTTAATATTTAATCCTCGCAGGATTTCCCCAAATAAAACGATCTTCCTCATTGTATTTGCTTGGTTGGAATGTTTCCTTGAACTCTGAAGAGTCAATTCCCTTCATGGAGAATATAGAGAAGTGAGTGTAGAAATTATCCTAAATTTAAAACTGATAATTCATTTCTTCATTCATGTTTGCCTTTCTGGCCCTGACCACCACTGGGATATGGCTTCCAGAAAGTTGTCCAGAAGGGAACAAAGTTACTGGGCTGAAAAAATATGAATGACCTGAATTTTGTATCACATGACCTGCTGTGGCCTGTACATTGGCTGGTCTGCAGGGAGACCTTTCCTTTGGCCAGGACTGGGTCATAGCATACAGAAGACATCGCTCAGGTCAGTGGTGCAGTTAGATAATTTAGGCTCTGAAGTTCATAATCTTACGAGGAGCCTCCTCTTTAGAGGTAAATGTACATTATATCACTTCAGAATGTGGTAGGCCTGTTCTGATTCATTTGGGGACCCTTCTACTCATTTTGCTGAATGGGCTGTGGATGTCCACCCCAAAAGCCCCGGTCTGAGGGGATCACTGCTTCAGGTTCTAAGTTCCAAATATGCTACAGAATTTGGTTCTGACATAAGCTACGAACAGCAACATATTGGCGCTATCAGACCTCTCACTATAATTGGCACAATAAGATTCTAGTTTCACTTCAGTGACTCAAACCCAGAGATTTCACTTCCTCTTGTAACTCCAAAAGTAAAATAAAAGAAAGAGTATCAGCATCAAGATATTCTTGATGCTCTGACTGCTTTGAGCTCAAGGAAGTAATTAGCAAACAGTGACATCTTAATAGGTGTGATTAAAAAGGAACACATTATTTCATTAGCACAGAGGGTTTTTTATTTAAAAAATGAACTCAAAGGCTTGCTAAATTTTCAGCTTAATTACTACGGAGTGTAGAAAATAAGTAATCCAATAATCAAGAAGAAGAAAAAGATAAAAAGGATGTTATATATCCTTTCGAACAGTATAATTTAATCGTATTCAGTTTGAATTTTTCTTTGCACCCAAGCTGGCTCAAAGCAAAGACTTTGAACTTAACCCCACTAAGATTTTCCTTCTCATTGAGTCTACCCCACCTCTTTATTTTGACCAAGTACAAAATCAAAGCCTGAAAAAATCAGTTTTCATGCCTCAGGTTTAGGACACCAAACAGCATGGATCATAGATTGATGCATAAGCATACTGCATCAGAATGCAAATTAATGAGTCACACTCTAGCACAGCTGAGCTGCCTTATACTTACCTCAAAGAAAAAGGATAAGAGGGCTATCAACTGCTGAGTCATCTTATATAACAGAATCAGGGATGGATCAGAACTCCTCTCTCTGGAAACGAGGTCACGGGGTGGGGAAGGATTTCAATGTTTTATTGCCCAGGGAAGAGGAGGAGAGGCTGGCAAGAGTCAGGGCTAGGAAGGCAGAGGAAACTGGAGATGAGATTTCTGTAAGAACTTCTGCATTAGGCGAAAACTCAGTGGGGATTCTGCAAAACTAGCCTCTAGCTTTCCAGAGCATTCCCACATTAACAGATGCTTTGAATTGTCTCACTGGGAACCTCTTTGAAATGCAAATCTAACAAGTCTCTCTTCACATGCATCTATTGCTTTTTGATTGAAAGTGTTTATTGGGGAGGGGGGAGATTTGATGCTGAAAGGAGATGACACACTTCCACCTAAGGCAAGGCTTCAATTCCCATCTTCAGTCTGAATTATGAAACATTGCACTCAACTACCCCAGACTGAAGTAGTTGACTAATTTTTAATTACCTGACCTCTGTTGCTAATGACAGTGGCAGACTTTGGTCTTTAACATTTTAGTGGTGCCCTGTGCGAGGTGTTCCCCCGCCTCTTGCCTTCCGTTCTGCTCAATTCACTATAATTGTGAAGCCCTTCTGTACCCGCTCCTGTCAGTGCCCAGTGCAGCAGAACTGGTTGCACTCCCCGCAATTCGTTTCTGTTAATGACTCAGGGGACTGTAGACTAGACTACCGTAAAATGCACTATATAGGGCTGTCTAAGAAGAAGGACGCGGGCGGCGCTGTGGGTTAAACCACAGAGCCTAGGACTTGCCGATCAGAAGGTTGGCGGTTCGAATCTCCGCGACGGGGCGAGCTCCCGTTGCTCGGTTCCTGCTCCTGCCAACCCAGCAGTTCGAAAGCACGTCCAAGTGCAAGTAGATAAATAGGTACCGCTCCGGCGGGAAGGTAAACGACATTTCCATGCATTGCTCTGGTTCACCAGAAGCGGCTTAGTCATGCAGGCCACATGACCTGGAAGCTGGATGCAGGCTCCCTTGGCCAATAAAGCGAGATGAGTGCTGCAACCCCAGAGTCGGTCATGACTGGACCTAATGGTCAGGGGTCCCTTTACCTTTACCTTTAAGAAGATAGAAGGGAGGTGGCTGTTGGGGCACATCCTTTGCATTAAACAGGACTACAGTTCAGTCCCACCTCTCTTTTTCTTACTTTGATACTATGAAGCTGCTTGGAGAAGTTTCACAGCAGACATGTCGTTTTCTGTGTCATTGTACATAACAAAGATCAATAATACATACATAGGAAAAAAATGGCTATCTCCATCAGCACAGCATAGGGAAAAGCCATCTTTTTGTTTGTACAAACACCTTTTATTGCACAGAAATGGCATGCAATCTCTTCTTTTTAAAATCAGCTTTGGGTTCATTGGGTGGCAGAGGTGCCACCCTCGATACTGTTCATGCTTCCTTACCTGGAGATGCCAGGGATTGAACCTGTGGCCTTTTGAATGGAAAGCACATGTTCTTCCCACTAAGCTATGGCTTCTGCAGCGAATGTCATCCCTAATCAGCACATACTTAACTGTAAAATACCCAGAAGCGGCAAGTGAGATATGACCACGCCTCACCTCATGCATTTTGTCAAGTGAAGTGGTACTTCCATTACCAGGCCACATGCTATGCTCACCATAGTGATTAGCAGCTTAGTACAAATTATCATGTGAATCCTAGGTATCACAAATTATATATTCTCAACTCTGCCAGCAGCATCCTGTAACATCAGCTAGGGATCAGAGAAATGTACTTGAATCTTAGAGCATTCCTCTAAGAATCATCCACAAGCCTGCTGGAGAGCCAAACTCTCAGGGGAGACTAAATAAATGCATGTATAGATGTTGATATGGCTGCCAGACTCCCCTAAATTCATGGGTCCAGTTGGTGCCAGAATTTGAGGTGTTAAGACTTGGGTGCAAACCCCATGAGTATTAACCCAGACTTGTGTGTTTTAAGCTGTGTGCTAGACACATCTAAAGCCCTTGGAATCAGCTAATCAAGACCAATTTGCACCGAGTTGTGTGCTAGACAATTGTGCTAGACAATTATAATATTTTAATTAAGACACCTCACCTATGTGAGGTGATAGCTTGGGGGATGAGCCATTAAGACAACAAAGAGGATCAAAAAGGGCCCTCCCTCAAAATATAAAGTAGAGTTAATACTATGAGCCCCTCCTTCATAGGCTCAGGTTTTATATATTTGTAAATAAACCATATATAATAAAGACACGAAAGGCTCTTCTGTGCCTTATTCCTAAAAGCCTTATTCCTAAAAGGAACCTTGGGTAAGCATGCCTGGAACCCCTGGAATCTTGCACCGCTCAGAGACTGGGGCAGCGTGTAACAATATGATAAAATGGAAAGAAACTTTTCATCCATTATTAACTGATTTTTCACATAAGCCTAACTCTTGTAAGGATCAAAACCAAAATTCTGACAACATTTGAAAACTTACCCTTCCTCCCCACTCCTGGTTAATAATATATTCCCAATCTGTTGTTCATTAAGGTGAACAGCTGTGGATTTATTACTATTTTTCCCACTGTGCAGAGAGATCTGCCTGCAAACTTCATACATACATATCTAAATAATAACTCCATTATAGGTTTGGTTCATGGAGGGCCACATAATTCATTACCTGTTCAGGGTACTTCTTTTCAACATTTCACAAAGACTACCAAGGTAGTAATAAATAAAGGAAGAAAATAAATGAATGCTACATTATGAAGCCAAAGTGAGAAGAGATCTCATGGGAACACTAAAACTTAATTTATTTGGCCCAGTATATTTCAAGTCGTAGCAGAGAGGAAGATCCCCAGTGGACCAGATTAAAGGTCTATCATCTAGTACAGTATCCTGTAAGAACACTGTCCAACCAGAGCCTATGGAAAGCCTATAAACTGAACAAGAGTGCAATAGCCTTCTCTCATGCTTGTTCCCCAGCATCTGGCACCCTTGGTGCAGTTGTTACTGCAGGTAATATATGTCCATCATCATCGTTCTGGAGGTCCGTTCTTAACCTGAAACTGTATACTGTGTACATTCCGTTTTTATGCTTTCCAGACTCTCCCCCAAGCATCGCTTTTAATACTGTCCTGTAGTGGGCTTTATCGGACTCCAAAGTATGAATGAGCAAATTCATCTATTTCAAGTTCTCTCATTTCTCACTCCTCCCCCCCCAACTTAAATTCAGTTCTCCACGTTTTATATCAGTTTGCATTTTAATAAGTCCTCGTGAAAATTCATTAGCATTGCAGTGCAAATATCTCCTAACATTCACGTTCATATTCGTATGTGATTTTGCAAAATATACAGTGGTACCTCAGGTTAAGTACTTAATTTGTTCCGGAGGTCCGTACTTAACCTGAAACTGTTCTTAACCTGAAGCACCACTTTAGCTAATGGGGCCTGCTGCTGCTGCCGTGCTGCCGGAGCACGATTTCTGTTCTCATCCTGAAGCAAAGTTCTTAACCTGAAGCACAATTTCTGGGTTAGCGAAGTCTGTAACCTGAAGCGTATGTAACCTGAAGCGTATGTAACCTGAGGTACCACAATATACTTTTCTCCCAAAGCAATTTTCCCCAATATAATGGTTTGTTTGCGTGTTATTTTCACTAATATCTGAATTTTTATTCACAATATGAGGATATATTACTTGATTAGAGAACTGCACTGCAAAATCTGGAGGTATGTGATGGCTGTACTTTGGTTCACACATTGTTTTGGAAATTTCATAGATTCCCCTTTAAATTGGGAACTGAATCTAATTTTCCCCCAATCCCTACTCCACAACAGGTAGAAATACTCAAGCCCTTGATGTTAGTCTCTTTCCGCCAATCACCCCTTCCAGCAAAAATTTCAGTACTCCCAAGAGAGAGTTCAACATGGTATATTTAAGATCCTGCAATCCACAAAGCCAGGGGCATTTTTTTTTCATGGCAGCATACCTGACTAATTCACACATTTGACTTGGCAGCAACATGCCCCCTTGCCAGACAGAAACGGCTTCCAGAAAAGCCCCTGGGACACTCCTTTTCTGCTTCAGTGGAAATATTTGTGCATTACTGCAGATAAAACAAGGCGAGATGTCCACAGAAGCAGCATTAATACACAACAATTAGTATTATGTAAAACCAAGAGGCAGAATAGGAAAATATTTTTTTTTGCAAAGAGATATGTGGGGGGTATCTGCATTAGACATATACTGCTATTTCATAGCATTATAAATAGTGCTATAATAGTGTAACTATTTCTATGCTCTATTTTTGTAGAGACTTTTGAATATTTTGAATTTTGGAGGTTTTTAACATGTTTGCATTGTTTAAGTCAGGCATGTCCAACATTCGTTTCAGGGGTCCGCCGGTCAGTTTAATCTGGCCCCTGCAGCAGTTTATTTCCTCTGGTAAAATCCTAAAAAAAACGGCCTCAACAACTTCAATCCTAAAAAAGGTCAGCAACTTTGGTTGGCCCTCTGGTCAGCCCTCATAGCCCTTCACTTCATCAAATCTGGCTCTCTTTGAAAAAAGTTTGGACACCACTGGTTTAAGTGGTGGTTATTCTTATGTCTGGTTTAATGAAGGTTTCTTTCTCCTGAAAAGTTGTTTATGAATTCATTAAGACAGGTAAGAAAATAAATTTCTATCCCAGCAATGTATCATAGAACTGAAAAGGTTTTTAAATAACTTTTTTCAGCTTGGAAAAGCTCAGAGGGTAAGGAGAAAAAAAACATTCTCCTTTCATTTTCTTTTCTTTCTGCCACCACCAATTTTGTTGCTGATCATGTCCCCGAATGCTGTTTTTTTGTGGGGGGGGAAAACACACACACTCCAGAGTGAGAGCAGGAAAAGCTGCCCTTACTTTGAACTGGCTTCAGCCTTTAGCCTATGAAAACACAAAAAGCCAAATCAAAGTAAGGGAAATGCTTTCTGCCTTCAGCCTGGAATTGTGTGGGTAAAATCCCTGCTGTCCAGCAGATACTGTTAGAAAGTTTGTCTCATACTTTGCCATTCTTTGTACTCCACCCACTGAGATCTCCATCCACTATGCCAAAATACCTCCAACTTCAAAGCCTGCAAAATGAATCATGATATTGTTGGAAGGTGGATTTCAGCTCAACATAAATCCTAATGCAGGCTGCCTGCATGTGCTTCATGTCCCTGTATTCTGTTGCCCATTTGCCAGGTGTGACTGACATGTGCTGTGAATTGTATGCAGCTAAACAGGCAACTCAATCAATTCAGAACCCAAGCATGGGCAATCCTCTTGCATTATTTTTCTTTTTCAATTTGCTGCAAGCAGATTACAAAAAGCACTATTTCATTTTTATTTATTTTTAAAATCACAATCAGAAAGGATTCCAATCTGGGCTACAAAGGGGGGAAATGCAGCTGGGATGCCACTTAATGAGTGAAATTGCAAACTGCCACATTTACAGAATATTCCATGTTTTTGTTGTGGAAATGTTTTGTAAGTGGGAGCACTAAGGCTTCAAGCAGAATATGCATAAATACAATCAAGCCCAATTATTTATGGATTCAGTTAAGATGTATAAACACCTCCATCGTAATCCAAGTCTGTCTGTCCTTGGAGCCTTTTCTGCAAATGAATATTTACATGATTCAATAAAGGGAAACAACACAAAACAATACTTTCCCCCAGAAAATACAGTGTGTGGACTCAAGCAGGCTATTGTGAAGATCACAGGGGGAAATGAAAACAGGAAAGTGTTATAAACACAGCTTGATATTAGGATTAGTCTTGCTATAATGGAGTGTAAGACATCCGTTTCCAAAGAGGGCAACGTCATAGGCAGACATAAAAAGGATAGGCTGGAAGAAGATTTTCTTCTGATGTAGAAGAGCCAACGCAGATGAGCATAAGCTTCCTTTATCTTTTCTTTATGTCTGTAGTGATTTTAACAAGCGGCAACTCTGAACAAAACGTTGCAGTTTATCCCCACCTCCTAGGAGAAGTGGTTCTGCTTAGGATTCCTACCAGTCAACCAGGATGCTGTAAGAAGCTGTAAGAACCTGCTAAAGGCTACAGGACACGGCCCTCTTCTCATTTTCTGTTTTAATTTCTCAACCTCCTATGGCTACTGAGGATGGCCTGACTTCAGTGGGTCACTTTCTCACCATGTTGTATTCAAATTATACTCAGAATAGACCCATTGAAATTAAACCCTGCTCACTGATTTTAATGGATCTGCTCTGAGTAGCCTGCAATCTATTGTTTGTTTTTGTTTTGCCATAGTTGCTTTTCAAGTTTTTGTACCGCTCCGTGCTCCGTGTTACCTACTCTCTCATTTCCCAGTGGCCCCATTTTGACTACAATGCTCTCAGTGTTCAATACTTCCATTTGCTATTAGAAGGAATCATTATTTTTAAAAAGTATTTTCAAAAGATGGGGGGAGCCATATGTGATGTAGCTGTGGCCGGGTGGTTTACAACCGATCTGCTGGGCGAGGGACTCAGAGAGGATCAAATGTCTGATACTCAAATAAAATAGAGCTGAAGGTACCTTATTGCAGTCCTGGTGGTTCCTGGCACATCTGAAATGTTTCCTGGGGGAAAAAATCCTACAGTGATTCTCCCCCCTCCTTTTTAGGGAACATATGCAGTTTTTATTGCCAGTTCCTTCTTTCTCTTGTTCCTGACCTACTAATGCTTTGGTGCTATCCCCTGCCTCCCCCAGTTATTAGGCGTTCTTATCAATCAGGGATCATGAAATATATGTGATGGCATCACGTTGATACATGTCTAATAAGATAGCACTGAAGTATAGTATGTTCAGAGACGTGGGTGGCGCTGTGGGTTAAACCACAGAGCCTAGGACTTGGCGATCAGAAGGTTGGCGGTTCGAATCCCTGCGACGGGGTGAGCTCCCGTTGCTCGGTCCCTGCTCCTGCCAACCTAGCAGTTCGAAAGCATGCAGTGCAAGTAGATAAATAGGTACCGCTCCAGCGGGAAGGTAAACGGCATTTCCATGTGCTGCTCTGGTTCACCAGAAGCGGCTTAGTCATGCTGGCCACATGACCCGGAAGCTGTACGCCGGCTCCCTTGGCCAATAAAGCGAGATGAGCGTGCAACCCCAGAGTCGGTCACGACTGGACCTAATGGTCAGGGGTCCCTTTACCTTTATAGTGTGTCCAATATTTCCTGTATATCATGTGGCTGATTCTAGCCACTCAAGAAAGTAGAAAATAGCAAAGCCGCTGCAGGGTAGTAATTCTTAAAA